TTTGAAAGTTAGCAGAGATGCACAGTTGCTTACAGACAGCACTTTGGGAGTTAGCAGTGTGTGTTCAGTTGCTGCAGAATCCCTGACGTTCTTGGTTTTCTTACGAGGATATACTGCTGGTGAGTTTTTTCAGAATGCTGGGATTCTGGTCATACTAGAATCTTTGGCCCAGCCACGTTTAGTTCTCAGCAAAAGATGTGTGAGAACTCAAAGTCAGACAATAATAGAATGGGTTGTGTAATATGCTCTGCCCAGCCAAATCTGCTTTATAATGAATGTAGCAGGGATTTTTTTTCTTGAGGCTGTTGGATGCAAGCAGGATCTTATAGTTCTTTGTAGGCTAGAATTGGTAGGAAACTCTTAACATAATTGTATTCCTGTTGAAAATATGGTTTAAATAATAAAAAAAAAAAGTTTTCCATGCAAAAGTGTTGCTTTTTTTCAGTAGGAATATTCTAAACAAAACATTTTGTTCTGAACCAAGAAAGGAAATGTTTCATTTCATTGTATTTAGGATATTCTTGAGAAAAACAGATTATTCTAATTACTTTACTTCAGCCTAGCTAAACACAGCCTGAGCTACTAATATCTTCCGAAGTCCTATACTAGACTATGGAGTCAGGAAAGGATTATTGCTTCAATTGTTGTCTATTAACTCAGCATCTTTGGACGCAGTTGATCCTGGTAGTGAAATAAGGTGATCATTTGCCTCTATCCATCTGGTTCATCCAGCTTCAGATAGTGCAAGTCTGGTGTTTATGACCAAATAATTGAGATAATATCAAATATCCAAATGGAAAAAAAAAAAAGAATAGACCACAACAAATGTTAATACTTTTTCCCTTTAATGCCTGTCCTTGATCTCATAAAATTTAAGACTTGCTGGTGACAGTTGAAATTTTCTAATAGTTGAGGGTTTATTTGTATGTGTAATGTTTTGGTTCTTCATCTTTCTTCTTGCCATCACATCTTCCTGGATATAGTTTTTCTGAGTTAAAAGTCATGCTATAGCTTCCTCAGGGTGATACACTAGATGAGGATTTCTGTGGGCATTTGCTGATAAAGCCAATATATATCTATGCCATTGTATTCAAAGGTGAAAAAACAGGAACAAACTCTTCTATCTGCATGCACACACAGCTCTCTAGGATGTACGAATTGAATAACTTGTTTGTAATTATGTCTGCTTTGCATTCCTCTGTTCACCCAATTTTTTATTTCCAATAGAGAACACCCAGTCAGGTAAGATTTGTGGCAGAGAATTGAGTTCAACAAATGTAGATTCTTTTGAACCATGCAGGGAAATTAATTTGTCATCATGGACATCTCAAATAAATCCTCTTAATTAACTGAGTTTCTTGAACAATTATGTCACAGATAAAAATGGCTTTCCTCATATAATACTTTCTCTTAAACATTAAGGATTTGTAAAAGCTATATTGTTCAATTAAACATGTAAATTCTACTTGGCAATTTAGTAATAACCAGTGTGGAATAAGGAATTTAAACCCCAGAGAAATGATATTCAATGTCTTCTACATATTCAGACTGCTGAGAAGAAGCTTTTTGAGGTACTTGCTGTGGCCGTGAAAATAAACCTACCAACATAATGGGTTAGTGGTTTAGGTCAAATCTGAGGCTGCCCTTCATATCAAAACCTTCCATTTATAGATATGGCAATTAATTCATTTGGGAAGAAATGTTCTTCCAGTTCCTATTTTCTATAATGTTTTAAAAATTTAACTAGAATCACGCAGGATCACACAGAATCACAGAATGATTGGAGTTGGAAGGGACCTTTAGAGATCATCTAGTCCAACCCCCATGCTCAAGAAGGGTCACCTAGAGCATATTGCCCAGGATTGTGTCCAGACTGCTTTTGAACTCTCCAGGGAAGGAGACTCCACAGGCTCTCTGGGCAACTTGTTGCGGTGCTCTGTCACCCTCACAGTAAAGAAATTTTTTCTCGTGTTCAGATGGACCTTTCTGTGTTTCAGTTTATGCCCGTTGCCTCTCGTCCTATCGCTGGGCACCACGGAGAAGAGTCTGGCCCCATCCTCTTGACCCCCTCCCTTCAGATACTTATACACATTGATGAGATCCCCCCTCAGTCTTCTCTTCTCCAGGCTGAACAGGCCCAGCTCTTGCAGCCTTTCCTCATATGAGAGATGCTCCAGTCCCTTCATCATCTCAGTAGCCCTCTGCTGGACTTGCTCCAGGAGCTCCGTGTCTCTCTTGCGCTGGGGAACCCAGAACTGGGCACAGTGCTTCAGGTGAGGCCTCCCCAGGGCTGAGGAGAGGGGCAGGATCACCTCCCTCCACCTCCTGGCAACACTCTGCCTGATGCACCCCAGGATCCCATTGGCCTTCTTGGTCACAAGGGCACATTGCTGGCTCATGGTCAACTTGCTGTCCACCAGGATTCCCAGGTCCTTCTCTGCAGAGCTGCTTTCCAGCAGGTCAACCCCCAGCCTGTCCTGGTGCATGTGGTTATTCCTCCCTAGGTGCAGGACCCTGCACTTGCCTTTGTTGAACTTCATGAGGTTCCTCTCTGCCCATTTCTGCAGCCTGTCCAGGTCCCTCTGAATGGCAGCACAGCCCTCTGGTGTGTCAGCCATTCCTCCCAGTTTTGTATCATCAGCAAATTTGCTGAGAGTGCACTCTGTCCCTTCCTTCAGGTCACTGATGAATAAGTTAAACAAGACTGGACCCGGAAATCAGTTATTTATCCCTTTTCTGTAAGCACTGCATTTATGAATCCATACAATTAGAATGAAAATGCTCTCAGGCTCATCACTGTTTCATGACTAAAGCATTTGCAGTCTAACCATTATCCAGTAAGAGGACTAAAATACATCTGAATTCAGCGGATATACTTAGCGTGGGCCAGATCTCTTCCCCATTCGCACTGTTTCAGGGGAGCTATATATGTAGCGAGATGCAATTCCGAGTGAGCTGTATGGCACAACTGGCCTCTGGTTATGCAGTGATAGTTGCTCTTCAAAGTCCAGGAGGGCTCCTTCAGTTTCTCTTCAGATAAGCATAGAGGCTCAGAGGGAGTGGCTTTGTGGTCTTTAAAAGTGAGAAGCCATGGCACTTGGCTGTTGTCCTTAGAGCATTTTTCAGGGTGTGGCAATAGTTCATAGTATTGAGATCTAATTAAAAAATACATGATCAGTTCTGATGATAATTTGCTATGATTTGGTATTTGCCATTTTTGGGAAAGCTTGATGCATTGTTGTTTCACTCTTTATGTCTAAATTTTTCCTAAAGCAATGAAAGAATCTTTATTTCAGATTCTCTCTCTCTCTTCTTCTTTTTTTTTTTTTTCCTTTTCCTTTTAATGAGCAGTTTGAGCTGATTTGGGGAAAATGTTTATTTTTTCCAAGTATTTTTTTTTCAGCCTAAAATTCATTTATTCACCCAGTTTTTGTCAAAGGTCCTAATTAGATTTCTGTGTCTGGCTTTTAAATCCTTGGCAATTGGAATTTCTTATATCAACATTTTCATTGCTGTAGTTACAAGTCATGTGCTTTTCTGTTTTCAAACCAGATGCTGAATTATAATTGATCTATTCCTCAACTGTAAAAAGGGCAGAATCAGACTTTTTTTTTACCAGCAAAGCAATGTTTGAACTGTAACCTTGAATGATCTCCCTCATTGTTTATAAGGATATAAGTAGTCATCTCTATTTCTTTTTTCCCCCAAACATGTAATAGGAGAGGCATTCACTGCTGCATTGGTTGTGGGGTATTCTTATTAAAGAAAATATTAGTAGGATATTAGTAGGAAACTATGATCAGGATGTTTGTCTGTAAGGCTGGAAAGTAGCAGGCTCCATTTCCTTAGTCGCCTTCTTTTCAGAAGAAGATAGACTATGATCCCTACCGTTTACTGAATACTTCTCGCTGTTACTATAAAGTAAGAAGCCCTACTTTGAATAATTAGGAAAAGTATGGTGGGATGCTGAAGTGGTATTCCTAAGTCTACAGGTAGTTGAAATTTTCAGTAGATTGCATTATTACCACCTTTTAGTTTGACTTTTCAAGCACAATTAAAAACAGATCTTCTGAGATGGTTCTTAGTGTTCAAACAGACAACAATCTGTTCAATACTGAAGGTTGAGGAACGTTTGTTGTTATTCACATTTTGGGGAGAGTGAGGGTTGGGTGTACAGATCGTTTAGGGAGAAAAGAACTCTACCTGCTACAACAGGCAGTTATTTCTGCAAGTGCTATTGCCTTTCATTTATGTTCTGCTCTCTCCTGTATTCTGTCCTTGTGATGTACTCTCACAGTGAAGTTCAACGTCAGCTTATCAGGAATGAGACTTGAAACAACTTAATATTGCACTCAATTGCATCACAGCTAATGTTATTTCAGCACGTCACTGAACTGTCATCAGCTTCTGTTGAAATACAGACCTAATGACAGTGATACTTGAACACAGGCTATACAGAAGCTCTAGTAGTTGGATGCAGTTTTGCTTTTACACCTGATGAAGATATTTGTACCTGCAGGTATTGAAGCAGTGTCATTTAACCTAATTATCAGTGCACACATCGTGTCCTTGCAGTTCACCTTGAACATAAGAAATGGAAAGTTTTTCTAAGGGCATACTGTATGCTAAACATTACTATTTAGGTACAGCCTGGAGAAGTATGAATCTTTCCCTGAGCTGCTTGCTGAATAGCTGTTATGGTCATGCTATGCTGTCTTCTAGGCATATGAGTGGCCTTTTATTTCACTAATGTGTGCAGAGAAGCAGCCAGACAAGGAGCTGTTTCAGCAGAGAAGTATCTAAACATCAGGTCCTTTTAAAGTTTCTCACAACATGCACTCCAAACAGTAGCCACTCTTTTTTTTTAATTTTAGCGTTATGCTTGCAATTTTTGTTTAGTGAACAAAGAGATCGTTTTGCACTACTTCATATCTAGTCATAAGTTTAAAAAGAAATGTGTTCATTTTCCTTATTCAGTGTGTATATTGTCTCCTTTCTAGATCCCTCTGTACATTGGTGTGCAAATGGACATATACTTCAGATGGAGGTTGGGATGACAGCTTCTGGCAAATGATTGGCTTGGAAGATTTAGTGGAGGAAAAGTATAAAAAAATAGGTATATGGGATTTTTTTTGTTTTGCTTTATTTTCTATATATATTAAGCCCTTGTTCTGTATTATGAATGTCATCAGAAATGCAGCAGGTCTCGATGGAACTACAGATGGGTGGATAACAAGGCTGGATATTCAGAGGCATTAGGCTTCTTACTTGTCTTTGTCATGAAAAATTATGTTTATATTTTGTATTTTCTACTACTTTTGAAACTTCCTAGCTGGCATTTCAGTACTGCTCAGTTTAACAACAGAGGAGTAAATGGGAGCCTCAGCAACTGATTACAGGGAGGAAGCACCTGATACTAGCATATTAGATGGCAGGCTACAAAGTAAACTGTAGTAGCTTTAACTGTTACTGTTAGCATATTTTGTGACCTGTACCTCCCATATAGAAATTTTCTGAAGAACTACTACTTCTGCTTGTTAGTACCTTCGTACTACTTTCTCAGTCTCTTAGAGCCTAAGTTTAATTAGAATATTAGCCTTGCTAATAGCAATTCCTACAGCAGATATTCATTAAAAGTCCATAATGTTAATATACCAGAAAATTTCCAGGATAACTTTATTAGACTTTCCCTGTTAAGTTAATGGACTTTTAATGGATGTCCTAAGCAGACATGTCATTAACAAGAATATTACCAGACATGAATTAAAATATGCTCATTCATCAAAGTTAATTATCTGAAATTTCCTTTTTTTTTTTTTTTTATGTCTAGCACTTTGAACAAGTTTGTACAGCAGTTTAAATGCAGTGACATGAAATGGAAATGACATAGGGAGGGTTGTAATGAAATGAAATATAATGAAATCTATAAACTTTTGCAATCATCACAAGATGTGCTATAAGTCATTTTCAGGTATATAAGATAACTGAAAAAAAAAAAGCTTGAAAGCTTCCTTGAATAGAATTCGGCATCTCCCCCTGCCACTGAAGTTGCTTATGCAAAGATATAAACCCTGCTAGGAATATTGAGTTTTTAGCTTTCTGAGATTTTAGTTTGAATACAGTTCCTGTAACATCTACCAGATGTGGCTTTTAGCAAATCTGCAACAAGTTAAGACTTGCAATAAATACCTGTTTTTTACCAGAAAAGTGAACATCTTAGCAGCTGACTGTCTCATGGAAGAGTATTTTTAATATAAATTATTTATGAAATGTAAGCTAAGGTTTTAATACAATATTTATATGATGCACTTCAAGGACAGTGGAAAGCAATGTACCATTTTAAGCATATATGTTTCCAATGATAAAGTAGCCGTTAATAGAAAGGGCCTTTTGATGTGATGGACGCGTCATAAAACTGATCTATGTATGGCTGAAAATTTAAGAGGACAAAAATTATGAATTTCCAGTATCATGTTTTACATTTTTGTTAGAAGAGAATATTCACAAGATAAGCAAATCAGTAAATTGACTTCTGCTGACGGGAGTTACTCAGAAGTAAAAGGTGATTTCCTCTATTAATGGGCAAAGCATCTAGTTCCATGAATAACTGTATGGATTTCCAAGGACTAACCATAGAATACCTGGATGTGTCTTAGCTGGAGTCAGAGAAGCAGCATCTGACCTAGAGAATTACAACAAACTGTAGGCTAGAACTTGAAGCTTCTGAAGAGCACGTATTTTTATTTACCTTGAAAAATCCTGTAATTTTCCTGTACTTGAGCTGATTACCTTAGGTGTATCCAAAGTATAAAACAATTTGTTTTGCATAATTGAAACCTGGCTTCAGGTAGAGTATATGGTTGCTTCCATGACCAGTTGTCTAATCTTGCCTTATGCAGCCACCCTTTCATTCCTTCAAGTTTATCTTCTAAGCTGTGCCTGTTAGAGCCTCCTGGAAGGGTCTAGCTTTAGAGGGGGACAAAAAAGCACCTAAGCAAACCAAAACCCACAAAACAAAACTACACAGCCGGTGCGGGTTGTGTCATATGCTGTTGGAGTGCTTTTCCTTCTGCCACCCCCAGTTTAATCACTCTCCCTGAACATGTGGTGTACTGTGCCAAGGAAATGGGAATGGTAACAGTGTTCCACTGAAAGTTTGGGTTTTTTGTTTGTTTTAATATGAGCGTTCAGTGTTGTTTGACTTGGGAAAAGCATGTTAACAAGCTCTGCTTTCCCTTACTTCCTTTAAATTAATCAAGACGATGTAGAACCACTGACCCTGAAAGTGCCATTTGGTCACTACAGCAGGACTGGTCGAACTGCAGATGGAACTGTCTTGCATTGTGCGAGATTCCTAGTAACTCTGAAGGTGTCAGCACTGGTGGTAAGGCAGCACCACTGCATAGATCTCCTCCCAATAACCTACCAATGCTATGCTGAGCACAGTGATAACAGGATCACACCTTGTACAAACTCGGCTCAGGCTGTATTTATAATACAGTTTCGGGGCACTGTCCCATGAAGCACCTCATGAACAACCTCAGCTCCCATTAACCTCGACACGTTATACAAAAGGTAGGCAATGTTGTTTAAGTAATTCACGTGGAAATCAAGTCTCGGAGTGCGCTTCTAGGATGTATATAATAATGCGATATGGCTGACAAAACGGAATTCTAAGTGGTAGACTGAAGCTGGCTAGCAGATTAAGGAACTCACAGTTGCCAGATAACCTAGGTAGGAGTACGCTGAAAAGAAATTGTACATGGTCAAAAATTGTACGTGGTCAAAAATTCTCCTTAAAATAAAAATAGAAACAAAACGCCTAACAACTTTGAAGAAATCATAGTTGGAACTTTCTTTTTTATTCTCATATACAGCTTGTTCAAGCCCATGTACCTCTGTTAAAGGTTTTTTTACCTCAAATTCTTATGAGGATGTACTTTAATGCTTGCACGTTCCCTTGAAAAGGTAGATAATGGCATTTTTTTCAAATATCTCTCCCAAAACGTTAGCAGAGCTAAACTCAGAATTATTGTTTCATGGTAAAGTAAAACATCACAAGATAAAATCAGATGAATCTTCTTATTGTTGCAGAAGTAAATACACAGTTTACTGGTTTAAACAGGCGGACAAAATACTCATTTTTAATCACTAATGAAAACGACATTATTTTCAATTAGCAGAAGCCGTAGATGTATAGTTTTGACTAGAAGATTTCTGAAGTACCTTTAACTTTCATGACACTGAAAATAATTATGGAAATTATCTGAGAAAACATTCCTCAATGTACATGTTTCTTTATTCTGATAAAATGCACATCACTTTTAAAATATCTTGCCCTTTAAAAGTATATTTACTGTAATCAGAGTGATGCTTGTGGTTTCAGGTAATACGCTTTTCTTAGTTTCGGTTTAGCTGAACAGATGACCTTGTTGTTAAGGGAGACCCTCACTTCTGACCTTTAGGATCTTCCACAAGCCTTTCCCACATTGACATGTGGGTTCAACTGTGAAAATTCCAGGCCTTTGACCTTTTACATTTCTCAGAGGAGATTAACCTTTCAGGGAATCCACAGAACAAGTTTTTTATGGTCCCTTCCTACTTTGCGAATTTACTGATCACATTGGTGAAGGTAAAGATTTGTTTCTAGAGATACAACAAAATTTATTGAACCCATTAATTTGCCCACCAAGAGAGTAGCGGATGGCTTCTATTCAAAACCACTCTGAAAGCGTTGTGTACTGCAGGCATTAGCGTTTCTCTGCTGTGGTGAAAGCGCATGATGAGTATCACTTTGTGGTATTGTAAAACCTAGAAAGACATTAACAATTCCGTTAAAATTTCATGTACTATAGACCTCTTAGGGTACTGAAGCATATGTTCCATTTGGACAAAAACAATGCCTTATAAATTTTCACCACAGTCCTCTACTTCAGGGGCTACTTAAGGGACCAAATAATGATTTCTTATTGAATGGTAATATTTTACGCCAAGTCTCTTTTTTGGTTGAAGATGGCTCATTTGTCTAAGAGAGAGAGCATTGCAGCCCCTACAGAATCATTTTTTACTGTTGTAGATCATGTGGTGAAGGCTGAAATACTGATATTTTGTAAATGGAAGTTTGTCACCTTATTTCATCTGTGATGGAGCTGCACATGGATTTTATTTATTTATATTTTTGAAACAAGCCTCATACTTTGAAATACAGCTCTTTAGCAGAATAAGGATTTCATAATCCCATTTCCTAGGTTTTTCTAAGTAGGAATTGAGAGCCACATCCTCAAAAGTGAATAGGTAGACAGCTAATACTTACAGGCTTTTTATGAACATCTAAGCTGGAGTTGTTTAAATCACACAAGTTTTGATGGAATTGAGGTGCCTACCTGGAATTTTGAGAGCTTGAAAGTAATATGCTAATGCAAATAACTGTTGCATGCATAGATGTGTGATATCAGAGGACAGAGTTTTGTACAAAAACATTATTGACAATCCATTCGTAAAATGATGAACACTTAGAATAATTCTTTTTTTCTTTCTGTATGACTGGATAATCTGGCAATCTGAGTTTTATTCCTGCCTTCACCCAATGCTTCTCTGCCTGTCTCATGTCTCTAAAGCTGTAACTTGGCTTAATTTGCTTCAGAGTAAAACTGGCAGAACTCTTTCATATTTGATTTTTGACTTTGTAGGTGTTGATGGCATAAGGAAGAACATGTTGTGGTCCTTATACATCCCTCTACTTAAATCCCGCTCTTGGTCTGTTCCGTATGCTCCCTTCTTAGCTACCTTCAAGAAAAATGCTTCCCATTTTGCACAGATTGCCTCAATCCAGCTCCAGTAGGTTTTCTTCTGATTTTTAACTTTGGCACTGTGTTTTCAATTCTGAAGACTTCAACTTGACTCTAAAGTGCACTCATAGTTAGTGGTCTTTACTACCACCCATCTGTAAGTTCAATAGTGTCACCCTCCCAGTTCTGGCACTCTATGACTATGCCTTAGTGTACAGCCCTAGCACTTTACAATCTCTTGGTGGTAATTTCTCACTTAATTCTAGGACTGAAAGCTTTATATTTTCAGGTAACTGGGCACTTATGTGTATCTTTTATGAGTGTCCTG